TTGTATTCTAACCATCTTGAAATGAATACTAACATTCCATTTGCCTTCCTAACTACCATTTGAAATCAGAGATAGTAGGAACTGCAGATGCTGGAAAATCTGAGATAACAAGGTGTAGAGCTGGATGAACACAGCAGGCCAAGCAGCATCATAGGAGCAGGAAGGCTGATGAAGGGTCTAGGCCCGAAACGTCAGCCTTCCTGCTCCTATGATGCTGCTTGGCCTGCTGTGTTCATCCAGCTCTCTACCATTTGAAATTGCATGTTGACCTTAAGAAAATCCTAATCTATGGCTCCCAAGTCCACTTACGCTTCAGATTTCCAAAGCCTTTCCCTATTTATAAGTAGTCTGTGCCTGTATTCTTCCTACTGAAATGCATGACCTCACATCTTGCCTCATTGTATTCCATCTGACACTTCTTTGCCCTCTCTCCTAGTTTGTCCAAGTCCTTCTGCAACGTCCCTGCTTCCTCAACAGTATCTGTCCCTCCACCTACCTTTGTGTCATCTACAAACGTAGTAACAATGCCCTCAATTCCTTTGTCCAGATCATTATAACATGAATAGTTGTGGTCCCAACATTGATGCCAACAGAGCATCTCAATCTTTTGTATTCCTCTAGCACAGTGAGTGAGATGCAATAGCCAAATTGTCACTGCGAATCAAATGAAAAAATACTTATGGAAGAATCAGAAAATATTGCAAAGCTTGGACATTTTTTTGTGTTGAAAACCAGTCCTCTTAAGGATGCTCTCATTGTCAAACAGCTTGTTGGTTACAGAAAATACAGATTTAAAATAAAAATCAGGATTGTTTGGGATTTGCATTTTGCACAAAGTTTAAGAATGATTGGAATATTTAATGAAATGGTTCACTGAGGCATATCACCAAAAATTAAGACTTCCAATCATCTTTTACATACTGTGGTTGGGCATTACCAAAAATGAGCATAGTTGAATCTAAGTTAGGGGTAATTTAAGATACTTTTTAACCAGCTAGTTTCTTTTTATTCATTTAATCTTTGATGTTTTTTTAAATATAAAATGTATGAATTACATTTCCTAAAATGTAACTGATGTATCTAAACATTTTTACCACAAGATTGTTCACTTGTTCGAATCCTAATATCAACAGCATTTTATCAGTAGTTGAACAGAACATTCTTCTTCAATTTTCATCATTAGTCTACAATAGAGTCAATACTACAGGCAACTGCCTTTGTGGAGTTTGCACATTCTCCCTGTGTCTGTGTGGGTATCCTCCAGGTGCTCTGGTTTCCTCCTACAGTCCAATGATGAGCAGGCTAGGGTGGATTGGCCATGCTAGATTGCCTGTAGTGTACAGGGATGTGTAGGTTAGTATATTAGCCATAGGAAATGCAAGGCTAGGGTAGGGGGTGGGTCTAGGTGGGATGCTCTTCGGAGAGTCAGTGTTGACTTGATGGGCTGAATGGCTTGCCTCCAAACTGTAGGGATTCTATGATTTTGCAAATATGGAATAATTGTATGGGGTGAGGTGGTTTAAAAAAAACAAACAATTCTACGTTGAAGTTATTTTTCATTGTTACTGCATTAGAAACACAGGTAAGCAATTTTGTAAAGCAACAAGGCATTATACATTTTGATAAAAGTCACTCAATTTTACAAGAACATGTACACAAATTCATTAAAGCACAACAGATTAAATTCAATTAATTTTGCATCACGTTATTTTTGTTGCTTTTAAGGAGGTAATTTATCCTTAATGTCATTATTAGATCTAAACTTAGTAAATTATAAAAATAAATTATCTGATTAACTTTTCTCTGCTAATAATTGTAAATGGTTCAAATATTCAGTCAGTTTTTAAAAGATACTTTCCAAATTAGCCAAATGAAGCCATTTTGTTAATTTAATTGCCAATTACTCTCTCTGACTCCTGAAGGCATTGCCTCCATCTTGAGTCAAGAACTGGGCACCCTAATATTATGCCAAAAATAACAACTCAACACAGAATTGTTCTGAAAGACTAAGTTAATCAGTGTTTATGAAAAGATGACAAAATCTACATCAAAAACTGTGTTTCTTCTCCGTTAGTCAATGCTGACAGGACTGAATACTGCATTTTGTTCTTATTTAAGATTTCCAGCAATTTTTATTTGCTTTCTATATTTTTTTATTCTTTATTAAAGAGGCTGAATGATAATACCAAACATCAATGTTGATAGGCTGTTTGACTGCAAGAGAATCATAGCTGAGTTCAGTTGAGTTTCCATCTGCCAGCCACACACAATTTCAACAAAAGCTATTAAGCAAATTTGAGTAATGGAATCACTGACCAATTTTTAACACCCCAATTTGTATCTCTGCCAAATGTATTTGTTGTTCTTTCACTGATTCAGATCAGCTAACTCTGCATAGGTTGGAACTGAGCTTTGAACATCAATTTGATTTACAATTCTAGGTATCACAGTTGTATTAGTGTCATCACTCGGTCAGAAGAAATTGCGGGTTCAGATGTCACACCAAAGACTTTCAGGCATAACTTAGGGTGTTATTTTGGTGCAGTGATAAAGAAAATTCCACTGGCAGACCACTAAGTCCAATTTGAACCTCTCAGTTCTGAATATATTAAAATCTCAGCTGCTGTTTTTGGCATGAGATATTAAACTGAGACCCATTCAGACAGCAAAAAGTTCCCTTGGTACTTTACAAAGAGCAGGTTTTGTTCTCTTGATGAACCTGCTGCATGCAAATTACCTGCCACATTTCTTGACACTTTGAAAGTGCTTTATTGTCTGTAAAGTGTACTGGGATGTTCTGAGGTCATGGGAAATGTCAAAGGAAACCGTTTGTATGTATATCTATTTCCCTCTATGCCATTCACTTCATTTGGTACCTCCTTCTATGAGGAGAATATGCATCAATGATTTCTTGCAGTTAATATACCTCAACTACAGATTGCTGAGATTGTTTTTATAAGAAATTAATCTGGTCCAGCCAAGCATTATAGTATTTGCATAATCAACAAACTACTTTGTGATAATACATTGATGAACACGCTTATAATGAGAGTTTTAGCCTCAGGTTTGGATAATAATTTCAAATCTTGCTGGGTCATAGGTCTTATCTCTCATCAGAGGGAGCAACTGGTGGTGGTTTAATCTGAGGGTCACCATGCCTCAGGCAAGGAAAAGGCTTTAAATTTGGGACCTTTGCAGTGACCTCATCTGATACAGGAACTGAACCTATGGCTGTTAGCATCACACAGCCTTAGAAACCAGCCCTTCAGCCAACCAACCTATGCACACTATATAGCTTCAGTGTGGTGTGATTTTTTGTATGATCTTCTAAAACAAAATTGAAAAAACACTTAGTTATAAATTCTGCCCTCCCTCCCAAAAAATTTATCTCTCCTAAAGGTGCCAACTTAATTTGACTTCTGACCCCATAGATGCAGTCTGAGCAGAGAGGCAGAGGACTTAGGGAGAGAGTTCAGAAAAGTATGCGGAGACAGCTGAAGGATCTGTCATCAATATTAGTTCTCCTTTTAGAGATGAAAAAATCTTTAACATCAGTTGGTTTTGCTGATAAGGGGAAGGGAATGGGGATTGTTGTGAAAATAGGAAGTGCTGGTTAACATAGCTGAGCAAATGAACAATTTATCAATCCTTAGAAAAGCTATTAAAAACTGGTCTGAAGGACGAGCATTTTTGAAACTACGCAGAAATATTTGTGCTTGAGTATATTTTCATTGATTTAAAAAATACACAAAATCCATTTAAAAATGCTCCCAAATAGGCTAATAAAGAACCTTCTTATTCTTTGAGAATGTACGTGGACTTATTTACAGAACATTCTCAAAAACGCTTAAGCAGGTGAGTAGTCTTTAACAAATACAAGGTCTGTGAATAACGAATAGGTAAAACATTCTTAATTCTCATTGTTTGATGTGCTTGTCCTCACAGATGTATATATACATTTTTTGCATCTTAGGCTTTTAATAGATTAGCGTGTATCTGCCTGATCATTTGTAATTCATCAGTAGTTGCCCTTGTGTTATGATTATTTCCACTGATTTTCTTTTCAACATAGTTCTCTGCACAGTAAACTGCTGAAACGGATCATCTGCTTACTGTAGCACCTGTCTTACTTTTCCATTCTAGAATTGGCTGAATCTTTCTTGATTTCAGTAATTACTGAGAATAAAGTTTTACAGCGTTAAATTTTTGGTTGACCAGCAGTAATTCTAAGTAATATTTTTAGTTCATGCTTGGGTTCGAATTGCAGTTGGGAATGTGACAAATGACATTCACCGATGGATTACTAGAGTCCTTGACAATAAACTGTCAGACATTCAGATTTCTGAGGAGTATTTTTTTCTGTTTTTTTTAAATCTTTTGTTAATCAAACATAGTTCTTATTCCTGTGCATAACTTGCTGTGTTTCACTTTCTGGGCAGGCAGGCAAACATTCCTGCTTAGTGCCAGTGCCATTCTCTGAACTAGAAGCTTTAACTGAAAGTCCAAAATGAACCTCCCTTAAACTTTTCTCACTTTTGGTTAAAGTGCTTGTTATTCTTTTCAGCTTTTCTTGATGGCATTTGGAAACTGGGAACTGATTATGCGGGAATCACAGGAATGTACCAACACTTGCACATACAGGAAAATTAGTGCAGAGTTAAATAAAAATAAATCAATGTCTTCATACATACAGTTAATTTTTCTTCTCATCTTCTCAAAAGATATTATAATTATCAAGTATCCTTTGGTAAACATTTGCCTCATCAAGATTTTTCATCTAATAAAAGTTGATGTAAAATAATTTTGTGTGCTGTCTTCTTGAAATGGTTCTGTTAAAATTAATCCCTCAAAATACACTTAAAAATGTTGCCCTATTGTACAAGTAGTGATTAAGCAGCATTGTGAGTGAATTACATTTTTACAAACTGTCTCTTAAGGTTTCAACAGTTTTATCAGATGTACTAATCCAGTTTACTTTGGGAAATAAAAAGGGACAATTGTTCCTTTCTTCCCCATATATTTTGTGTTTCAGCACAATGAGCAGTGAAAACATTATTTATTACAAGCAGCAGATCCTGTTATGATAATATCATCCATTGCAAGCCTTGCCAGTATCACTGATTATCATTCCATTTCAGGACAATGTAATATAATGAAATTAACAAAGGCAAATGACATTCAAACATTTGAATTGGCAGACTCTTTTAGATGTTGTTCTCTATACATATAGTTTTGTTGCCTTCTTATTTGTAATTAACAAGTAGTAACATTTTCGTTTAAAGGTCATCAAGCTACTTCCTAGCATGTTGGAACTTAACCACAACATGCATTAAAATTGTGAAGCTTCATCCAAAGTATGTTAAGGAACCCTAGACTCTACACAACAGAATTACAATTGGAAATAAAAGCAGCAAGTATGAGCAGTTTCTACTAATTTAGCAATTATATATGGAATGCACAGCACTTTGATAAAGAAATGACAAGATTTATCATGAGAGTAACTTTTGCTTTTAGTGTGGGCAGTAAAGAGGTGGCACCCTACCCCACTAAACATTCCAGGCAAATTGGGCGCAGGGTTTATAACAGTTAATTGATCAGCAAAAACCGTCAATCACTGCCGTCAAAAATGAAAATTACATGCATATTTTACTGAGCGCTTGATGTAAAAATTTACCATTTGGTTGATTGCTGACTTGCAAAATACAATAGTGATCAATTTTCCAGTACCACTGTTACCACTGCAGAAAAAAAAGTGTCCCTTTGGTTATATGCCATGATTTAAAATATTCATACATTTAAAAACAAAATTGTAAACTGAAAAGAATGACTTTAACTACAGTTGGGGTCAGGTAGGGGGATTATAGAGTCCATATTGCAAAGATTTTCCTGTGCCTACAATATTATCCCTCTCTACTACTTACTCCAAAGTTGTCAAAACTACTTCATTTGAGGCTGTGTTTAACTAACTTGATTGAGTTAATCTTTTGATGAAGTGACAGAAAGGATTGGTGAGGATTATGCAGTTGGCTGGTGTATAAAGACTTCTAAAAGACTTGGGCAAGAACATAGCAGGTGAAATATAATGTGAATAAATGAGGCGTTGTGAACATTGATAGAAAAAAGCAGAAAGACATTTCTTAAATAGTGAAAAGTTGGAAACTGCTGGCCTCTAAAGTGAATGAGTGGCATGGGGGTGATGTTGTTGCATTAGCAATCCAAAACCCCAGGGTCCTGGTGGCATGAGTTCAAATCCCACTGTGAGAGGTGGTGAAATCTGAATTTTAAAGAGCTAGCTTAATGATGACAATGTAACCAGTGTTGTCTGTTGCAAAAACTCATCTCGTCCGTATATGCCCTTTAGGGAAGGGAATCTGTCATTGCCTGGCCTGCATGTGACTCCAAAACCACAGCAATGTGATTGACACTTAACTGCCCTCCAGGTGATCAGGGATGAAAATCAATGCTGGCCTAGCCAGTGATGCCCATATCCTCTGAATGAATTTTAAAAATGTAGGTGCACCAAATAATAAGGAAGAAAATTGGCATGTTAATAACAAGAGAATTTGAGTACAAGTGCTGCAGTTGTTTAGATGCTTGGTGAGACCACACTAAATATTATGTCCAGTTTTGGTCTCCTTATTTAAAGATATGCTATGATTGAAATGAAACAGAGGTTTGCCAAATTAATCGTCTGGATGATGGGATGTTTATGAGGAGACATTGAGTAAAATTGGCCTGTATTCTCCAGAGTTTTGAAGAATGAGAATTGACTTCACTGACATTTACAAAGTTTCTACAGGGCATGACAGGGTTAATGCAAATAGGATGTTTCCCCTAGCTAGTGACTTTAGAACTAGGAGACATAATTTCAGTGACAAAAATTGAAATTGCTGGAAAGGCACAGCAGGTCTGGCAGCATCTGTGGAGAGAAATCAGAGTTCACGTTTTGGGTCAAGTGTCTCTTCCTCAGAACATTTGGAGTACCACATACAACTCCGGTCACACTGCTATAGGAAGAATGTTATTAAACTGGAAAGGGTGTGAAAAAGATTTAAAAGGATGTTACTGAGACTGGAGGGTTTGATTTATAAGAGACTGGATAGGCTGGGACCTTTTTTCACTGGGGCGTAGGAGGCTGAGGGATGACTTTATAGAGGTTTATAAAATCATGAGGGGCATAGATAAGGTGAATAGCCAAGGTGTTTTCGCCAGGGTAGGGAGTCCAAAACTAGAGGGCATAGGTTTAAGGTGAGAGGGGAAAGATTTAAAAGTGCCCTGAGGGGCAACTTTTTCACAGAGAGGGTGGTGCACATATGGAACAAGCTGGCACAGGAAGTGCCAGAGGTGAGTACAATTACAACATTTAAAAGACATTTGGACAGGTACACGGATAGGAAAGGTTTAGAGGAATATGGGCCAAATGCAGGCAAGTGGGACTAGTTCAGTTTCGGAAACCTAATCAGTATGGGTGTGTTGGGCCGAAGGGTCCGTTTATGTGCTGAATGACTCCATGACACTATAACTGGTTGATTTGAAAATATATAAACACCTGGGCTGAGGCTGTTAAGCAGTCCTTAATTGCCTGTTAGGGGTTTCAATTGGTGGTAGGGTGAGAGAGTCAAACAAAGACTTACCCTCTGCAACTTAAGCTCATCCCCTATGGGAGGAGAAGGTTTTACCCATAGAGAATAAAAGCAAGGAAGTTTTGGTTAAGCTTTACAAAACACTGGTTTAGACTCAACTGGACTTTAATGTCTCGAATTGGACATCATGCTCTAAGAATGATGTGAAGGACTCAGAAATAGTGCAGAAGATTTATGAGAATGGTTCCTACAATGCAGAACACCAATTATGTGAATAATTTGGTAAAGCAGGTGTTGTTCTCTCTACGGAATAGAAGGTTTGAAAGAAAATTTTGAAGAAACGTTCAACATTGTGAAGTGTCTCAGAAGCTATTTCAATTAGCAGGTGCTTTGAAAACCTGAAGCTACTGATTTAAGATTGGCAAAAGGACTAACAATGATGTGAAGGAAATCTTTTTTATGTACTGAATGGTTAGGACCTGGAATGCACTGTCTGAGTGTGTTGATGGCAGACATTTTCATGGCTTTCCAAAAGGTAACTAGGTATCTAAAAAAAATTGCAGGGCGATGGGGAAACAGCATGGGAGCAGAATTAGTTGGGTTGCTTTTACAGATAGCTGACATCGGCATAGTGCTATAACCACTTTAGAATTCATTTTTGAGAATCACAGCTCATCATTACATGATCCAAGAGTTTGGTGCTTCACAGATTTTTTTTTGCGTTTTGTCAAATGAAGGCGATTTATAATCAGGAATTCAAAATATAGCACCATCAAAACAGATAGGAACATCCCTTATAAGGACTTAGGAATATTAAATATTTTGTAAATTCACACAAATTGCCTTCTACATATGATTTTGAACTTTAGAAGCATGAGTGGTTGTCTCACAATTTCATACAAACTTGCAACTGTGTGATCCGAACCCCTTTGTTAGATTTTTAAGATGTAGTGGCTGCAAACTAAAATTGGCAGATATATGTGTTAAAGGAGTTTTAATGTTTCAGAATACTTTAGGGTGGTATTTTTCCAAGTTTCCAGAGTTTAGTAAATGGAGAAAATGCACATTTTTTGCTTCCCCCTTTTGTTTATAAAAATGTGAATGTAAGAACACTCAGTAAAATAGTGATTGTGAATGTAAGAACACTCAGTAAAATAGTGATTGTGAATGTAAGAACACTCAGTAAAATAGTGATTGTGAATGTAAGAACACTCAGTAAAATAGTGATTAAACGCTGCAGAGCTGGCTCGAGGGCCATATGGCCTACGCTTTCTCCCATTTCTTATGTTTTCATTTGTCACCTTCTGAATGAATGAAATAGCATCCACAGAACACTTTAATTTGGAGTTACAGAAAATCTTTTAAAGACTGTGATAAATGTTGCATTACACTGCCCGACTAGTTTAAAAAACACATACTTTTGCTGCTTTGCAGAAAAATGGAAATTAAAACCTTTACAGTCACCTGCCACCTACTAGATAATCTTTTATCAGGGCAGACATTGTTTCAGGAAAATATATTTTAGTTTTTGATGGGACAAAGAAAATCTTGGTGTTACTGCACATGACCTGTAGATAATCAACAAACATTCAGTTCCCCTTTCAGTAATTTCAGGTGATCTGCTGCAAAACACTCACTTATAAGTACTATTTACCTATTAAGAATTTTTTTTTAAATTCTGAGACCAAAGTCAATACATTGCTCCTGATAACACAAACATATCTGATGTAGGAAACTGGCACATTTCATTGCTGCTTAAAGCTGACATTCACTTGTCTTTTCATGTACTATAAACTGGTCAAGCTCAGTCGCCATTTCATTGTCGTCCATTCCTTCCAAGTTCTTTGTGTGCTCAGTTTCACTGTACACTGATTCATCGTCACGGTGACTTTCCACACTATGTCTGATGCCATAACCAAAATAGATTGCAAATCCTTTAAGCAGAATAAAAATTATTAAATGGAGCAGACCATATTAATATGTCATTATTGATTAACAAGTTACGTTGTAATATATTGGGCGGCACGGTGGCTCAGTAGTTAGCACTGCTGCCTCACAGCGCCAGGGACCCAGGGTTTGATTCCACTCTCGGGCGACTGTCTGTGTGGAGTTTGCACATTCTCCCCGTGTCTGTGTGGGTTTCCTCCGGGTGCTCCGGTTTCCTCCCACAATCCAAAGATGTGCAGGCTAGGTGGATTGGCCATGCTAAATTGCCCATAGTGTTCAGGGATGTGCAGATTAGCGGGGTAGGTCTGGGGGATGCTCTGATGGTTGGTGTGGACTTGTTCGGCTGAAGGGCCTGTTTCCACACTGTTGGAATTTCAACAAGATTGTAATATGGTATGATCTGCCTGTATGGCACCCAAAATGACACTTTCACTGTATCTCATACATGTGACAACAATAAATCGAATCACAATAAAACAAAAATTAAAACTTTCTGAAATAACACAGTGTGGAGCTGGAGGAGCACAGCAGGCCAGGCAGCATCAGAGGAGCAGGAAAGTTGACGTTTTGGGTCGGGACCCTTCTTCATTTCTGGGTGAAGCCTGGCCTGCTGTGCTCCTCTAGCTCCACACTGTGTTATCTCTGACTCCAGCATTGGGAGTTCTTACTATCTCTGAGTGAGTCAAAAGTTTCTGAGGTTTTCTTTATGAAAGACAAAAGTTCTGGAAGAAATATTCTGTATTTGGTACCTCTACAAAATGATGAAATTTGATAGGGAGAAAAATCTGTTAATAGATTCAGGGAGGGTTGCGGTTTAGTAATGACACCCTTCCATCTTTTTATTATGTTTAGTGAACATTCCTTAAGTATAAAGGTTAGCTGTAACAAGGTTTACATGAATGAATCGTTTACTGGGAAAGTTACGAAGAAAACAAAGGAATTTGTAAGACTGGCAAAAACCTACTTTGGTTACGCAACATCATTACAGAATCCAGTCTTTTAAAAATTTTAGAACCTCATCTAATTTAACGTACATTGTTTTACAACTATTTTAATAAATATGGTAACCAATTATAACAGCACATGGCATTACAACTTGCAACTCAAACCAGCCAAGTGAAACTCTTATTTCTGGATATTGTTCTTCAGCAAGCTCGTCCATGTCCTCTAGCATTACACATGTTAAGTCAAATTATGGCTACTGACAATTACATTTCTTTGATAATTTTTTAAAAAATGATTCCTCTCTCTTTTCAGAATTTGATAACATTTTTTATTTCTGTCAGCCCTCTCCTGGACCTATCTTATTTCCCCTTTCTATCCCCTGAAAAAACTGCACATTTTGTTGAAACTTTTCATCTCATACTCATTATGACAATAAGTGTCAATGCATATGAAAATGAATGATTATACTGTATGAGAAGACAGTGATGATTGTTTGGGAAGACAACTCTTGAGTGGTAGAGCCATTGACATGGAGAATGCACGAGTTAGATGATGACTGGCAGCTAACTGTCAAGCTTTATTTCAATTTTAGGCCAATCAGGTTGATTCTGATTGGTCAAAGAATTGACCAAGGATTGGCAAATGAACCAGACAACGGCTGTCAGTTATTTTGTTAGGCTAAAACAGGCATAATGACTGTACATGTACTTTCTGTATTAACATAAATACCCTATACTAAGTGCAGCTGTACCACATTGACAATCCTAAATTGGACGTCAGCATAATTTTTTGCTGACTCTGGACTGTTTACCACATGTTGTTCCATCACTGAAATAGAAACAACATGTACAAATAGTGCCTGTTTCAACAACAAAATGGGTGACAGGCATTCTATGATCAATGTATAACCTTGAGAAATCATCAATCAGAATCAACCAACGCATTTTAAAATTTATACAAATTTGGCACTCTTCTTCTAACTAGTGCATTCGCCTCTACAAATCAGAGTCCACACACACTGATCATCCTCAATACTAATCCTCTGACAGTGTGGCACCTCCTCAGTACTGATCCTCTGACGGTTTGACACCTCTACAAGATGGATCCTCAGACAGTGTTGCACTTTTTCTGTACTGGCTATCTGCTGGTATGATACATATGGACCCTCATACTCCCTCCGCACTGACCCAGTACTGACCCTTTCACAGTGCAGCTCTCCCACAGCACCAACTCTGTAACAGTGTGGCACACCCTGCAGTACTGACCCGCACACAGCAGCAGTCCTTTTGTGCTGATCCTCAAATGGTGTGGCATTCCCTGAGTACTGAGACTTTAACAGCTGCACTCCCCCATTATTGACACCCTGACCATGTGATACTTGTCCTGATCCTCTGATGGCCTGCACCAGCATTTGGGCTGGTGAGGTCTTGGGAAAATGTGGCCCTCCTTGGCTCCTATTGCAGGTTCATCAAGTTCCCACTAACCATTCATATTCCAGTCAACTCCTATCTCTTAGACTTTGAACAATTAACTAAATCTTTGACTTTTTTGAGCTCTCATGAATGACTAATAACAACATATTGTTTCAAATGTGTTCAATTTTACATAAGTGGCCTTTACACACTTGTAAGCCCAAATAATGTGGCTCCAAGTCTTATTGATGCCTGAATACCTGCTAAGTGAATGGACATCATATTGTAGCTTCATGTCTGAAAAAAAAAGTTTCCAACTTTGCCTTTAGGCAGTCACTGTATTGGAAATCAGATAGACTGGCAGTGAAAATGAGAACACTAGAGCCTTGTGCTTAAACATTTACAAGATTTTGTTCAGACACACATTGTATTTATTTGGTGCATCTCCAACTAACAACTCAACTCTTCTTTCAAACTGCTCCTAAATGTGTGCACACAGTTGGCAATTATTGCTCCCATATTGCTTAATCTTCCATATCCTCCCTCCAGAAGGCCCATTCATTTCAAACAAAATCAAGTTACAATGCAAAATGTTAACTCTATATTAATTGGGTATTGCTTGTATTCAAGTGGTGGGCATTAATAATTTGGGCTCACAAGTGTGTAAAGGCCACTTACATAAAATAGGGGAGGTGCTGAACATCTTTTAAACTGTATGTTTTTACCAGTCATTCATGAGAGCAGAGGTTAAGGTGCTAAACTGGAACAGGCTCAATTTTGGGTCCATTGGACAGGATCTAGCAGAAGTCGATTGGGTGAGGCTGTTTGAAGGAAAAGGAATGAATGGCAAATGGGCGGCTTTTAGAGGTGTAATATCAAGAGTCTGGGGACAGTGTGTCCCTGTTAGGGTGAAGGGAAAAGCTGGCAGGTTTAGGGATCCCTGGCTAATGAGGGGTATTGAGGCGCTAGTCAGGAAAAAGAAGGTATCCATTGGGTTTAAGCTATCGGGCTCGAGTGAATCCCTAGATCACTATAAAAAGTGGAGGAGCACACTTAAGAGGGAAATCAGAAGAGCAAAAAGAGGGTATGAGATGGATCTGGCAGATAAGGTTAAGGATAATCCCAAGAGGTTCTATAGCTATATTAAAAGTAAAAGGGTGGCTAGGGAGAGAGTAGGTCCCCTTAAAGATAAGCATGGCCATCTATGCGTGGAGCCACAGGAGATGGGGGAGGTTTTTAATGAATATTTCTCCTCAGTATTCACGGAGGACAGAATCATGGATGCTAAGGAATAAGAGAAACAAGTGAGAGAAACATGTTTCGGACCGCATACATATTACCAGAGATGAGGTGTTTGCAGCCTTAAAGTGCATTAAGGTGGATAAATCCCCTGGGCCTGATCAAGTCCATCCTCGGACATTGCAGGCGGCTAGGAAAGAAATTGCAGAGGCCTTTGGAGAGACTTTTGCTTCATCTTTAGTCACTGGTGAAGTTCCAGAAGACTGGAGGGTGGCTAATGTTGTTCTATTGTTTAAGAAAGATAGCAAAGACAAGCCAGGAAACTATAGGCCAGTGAGCCTGACATCAATGGTAGGCAGGTTATTGGACAGGATACTGCAGGACAGGATCAACGAACATTTGGATAGTCAAGGTCTGATTAGGGATAGACAGCATGGATTTGTACACGGGAAGTCATGTCTGACAAATCTTTTAGAGTTTTTCGAAGAGGTAACCAAGTGGATACATGAGGGTAGGGCAGTGGATGTTGTCTGTATGGACTTTAGTAAGGCCTTTGACAAGTTCCCACATGGCAGGCTAGTCATGAAGGTTAGGCTGCATGGGATCCAGGGAGAGCTAGCTAATTGGATTCAAAATTGGCTTGATGGTAGGAAGTAGAGGGTGATGGTTTAATGTTGTTTCTTGGACTGGAAGACATAGTTAAACTGGAAAGTGTGCAAAGAAAATTTATGAGGATGTTGCCAGGACTAGTAGGCCTGAGTTATAGGGAGAAGTTGGCCAGGATTGGACTTTATTCCTTGGTACATAGGAGAATGAGGGGTGACCTTATTGAGGTGTATAAAATCATGAGGGGCATAGATAGGATGAATGCATATAGTCTTTTTCCCAGGGATGGGGAATTGAAAACTAGAGGCCATTGGTGTAAGGTGAGAGGGGATAGATTTAAGAAGGACCTGAGGGGCAACTTTTTCACGCAGAGTGGTGCGTATATGGAATGGGCTGCCAGAGAAAGTGGTTGAGGCAGGTACAATAGCAACATTTAAAACACATTTGGATAGGAAGGGCTTTTTGTTTCTTTTTTCATTAATGGAATGAGGGCATTGCTGACTAGGTAGCATTTAGTGCCCATCCCTAATTGCCCAAAGGGCAGTTCAGAGTCAACCAGATCGCTGTGGGTCTGCAGTCACATGTAGGCCAGACCAGGTAAGGATGGCAGTTTCTTCCCCTAAAGAACATTAGTGAACCAGGTAGGTTTTTCCTGACAATCAACGATGGATTCATGGTCATCATTAGATTCTTAATTCCAGATATTTTAGTGAATTCAAATTCCACCATCTGCCTTGGTGGAATTTGAATCCAGGTCCCCAGAATGTTATCTGCATCTCTGGATTAACAGTCCAATGGCCCACCAGGCCATTGCCTCCCTAGTTTAGGGATAGACCAAATGTGGGCAATTGGAACTAGCTGAATGAGCTGCATGGACCAGTTTGGGCAGAAGGACCTGTTTCCAAGCTGTATTACTTTATGACTCTATATAAAAATAAGTAGTATTGGAAGTGAAATCAAGGTTGACGCCATGACTGAAGATCCAGGCAGGTACTGGCCTCTGTCTAGTACCTCACCTAAATATCCAACATTCATGAGTGACTCTTGATGAGTGCTGAAACATTATCAGTTTGTGGTGAACACTGCAACTGATCCTGAGTGGTCTTCAGCTGACATTCCTGTGCATTCAGTGGCACAACAGCCACCAGGTATTTTAGAGCTGTGAATCCTGACATGCAACAGGAAATTTCAAACATTTTAAATAGTTTAGAAAATCATATTCCCAGTACTTACCAACAGCCATCCAAATAGAAAAACGAATCCAAGTGCCTCCATTCAACTGCATCATCAAGTAGATATTGACAAAGATGCTGATTAGAGGTAGGAATGGTAAAAGTGGAACCTAAAATATATCAAATGGTTTGTGTTAACTTAATATAAAAAGGTTTTTTTAATTCATTCACGGGATGAGGGCATCACTGGCTAGGCCAACATTTATTGCCCTCAGGGCAGTTAAGAGGCTCCACATGGCTTTGGATCTGGAATCACATGTAGGCCAGACCAGGCAAGGATGGCAGTTTCCTTTCCTGAAAGACATTAATAGCCCACATGGGCTATTCCAACAATTGGCAATGGATTCATGGTCATCATTAGACTCCTATTTCCAGATTCTTTTACTGAATTCAAATTCCACCAGTGGGATTCAAACCTGGGTCCCCAGAACATTGTGTCTCTGGATTAACATCCAGCGATAAAGCACATAGGTCATTGCCTTCCCCTAAGTATGGGTGTAGAAATCCTACAAATTACATTTTTCATGAATGGCAATTCACAGAAGAATCTGCTGTAATGCTTTTATAGTTGTGTGAATTAGACAATAATAGTCACATTTTCGCTCCCGAGTCAGATGGATAGCCTGAATTGGGAAATTGCCCCACTCACTGCAATCGCCTCTGATAAGGCGTTCTGCTGACCCAGTTTTCATTTGGGGGGGTGGGGAGGTGGGTGCAGGTTAGAGTTGGGCTCACTGCCCCCCCGGATGTGGACTGGGGGTGGCTGCAGAGGCTGCTGAGTGCCAGGGCAGGCTGTTTAAAAGAACTGCCTCAGTTTTCTGGGACTTCTTCCCAGTATTTTTGTTAAATATTAGGTGTTCTGTGCTGCATTAACCAATCACTGCCCACCCATTATCCATGCCAACTCATGCCCACTAACTAACATTTTGGTCAGCTCTGAGGGGGATTTGGAGGAGGGTTTGGGGTGTAGAGGAGTAGAAGAGGGTTCCAAGAGAGGACTGACTGTGGGGGGTCAAGGGAATGGAGGAGCATAGTGGGAAGGGCTTGGTGTTGTGGGTGTGGTGGAAAAATCAGCCAAGGTAAGAAAAGGAGAAGCCAAAAGGATTCATCAGTGCTGTCGAAATGTGGTTTTATCTTGAAGTGTCAGCTGGACAGAGGCCCTACAGTCACCTACAAAATTTCAATTTTCCCCATTGTTGTGTTATGTCTCATGGGTTAGTCTGACTTTAAGATAAATGCTTATGATACCATCATTGTATCATAACATATGACTTGAGGAAATTGTCTCATACTGGACCTTATCCTGCGATCGTTTGAAGTGCTGGAAGCACTTAATATTAGCCCAGACACATGTGCCTGAGGAATGTAATGTTTGCACACAATAAATAGTTGCAAAAATGTCTGTTTGTTTCTTCAATACTACAATATCCATATCCAATTTCTTGTGTTACAAGAGGCAACATATGCATCAAGTTAAAAAAAAACAGTTGGAGGCAAACTCATGCCACCCAGAGAGTGATCTCAAGGAAAGTGACCGTTTATAATCCATAAAAACGAGCACTAGCTGATGCTGCAAGTTCATCCATAACCCACAGAATGAAGAGTGCAGCACTAAACACTAACATGAACATTCAGAAAGTGTGCAAAAAACATAATATCATTATTTCCACAATACTGGAAACATCCCTGTTGTCATTGTAACCATCAATGTATACTGACCATGAGGTGTAACAGTCTAAAATAACAATAATGTGCACATGATCAAGGTGAAATCAATGTAATATAAATTACTGACAAGTGAAATTTAAATTTGAAAACACCCATGCTATCTTTGCATTCTCAATAAATCTTATGTTAATGGCAGTGGCCGTTGGAGAGGAAAGCGGTGGCTGCAATGAAGAGTATTTCTGTTTGATCAGGAAGCTCCGTTACATTCCACCTGTCCCTGCTACATTATTGGCTGGTGGTGCATTTGAGAACTGAAGAGAATCACCCACAGTGTCATCAAATATATCACTCGTGCGTGCTGCCTGTACTTTACATTTTAATTAGAATTGTGTGGGAACCAGCAAGATAGGGTGAACACTTCTGATTCTGCCATTGGGAACAGTGTGCCACTAACAAAATTCCACCCATCTTTTCTATGTTTACTCTACGAGACATTTCCACAGTCATATAGCCCTTATCTGGTCATCCCTCAACATTCTTTCATACTTTCATTAATAGAGGGATTGAGTTCAAGAGCTGTGAAGTTATGCTCCAGCAATACAAAACCCTGGTTCGGCCACATCTGGAGTATTGTGTCCAGTTCTGGTCACCTCATTACAGGAAAGATGTGGAAGCGTTGGAAAAGGTGCAGAGCAGATTTACCAGGATGTTGCCTGGAATGGAGTGAAGGTCTTACGAGGAAAGGTTGAGAGAGCTAGGGCTTTTCTCTTTAGAACGACAAAGGATGAGAGGTGACTTGATAGAGGTGTACAAAATGGTCAGAGGTATAGATAGAGTAGACAGCCAGAGACTTTTTCCTAGGGTGGAGGTAGCTATTACGAGGGGGCATAGTTTTAAAGTGAGTGGAGGTAGATATAGGGGAGACGTCAGAGGTAGGTTCTTTACTCAGAGAGTGGTAGGGGCGTGGAATGTATTGCCAGAGAGGGTAGTGGAGTCGGCCTCATTAGAGGCATTTAAGCGGCTATTAGATAGGCATATGGATGATAGTATAGGGGTGGAGGTTAGATAGACCTTAGGTTTAGGGTAAAAGTTCGGCACAACATCGTGGGCCGAAGGGCCTGTACTGTGCTGTACTGTTCTATGTTCTGTGTTCTATACAGTCCCAGAATGTTTAACTTTTTTTCCCTGAAAGAACCTCGCAGTTCTGGCATTGTCCATTTACATCTTTTTGGCACTTGTCCTAGTGTTTCTGTTTCCTTTTTATAATACTGTATGGAAACCAGAAATGAGCGGTGTGATATAACCAAAGCTTTGTACAAGTTTAAGAGACCTTTTTGCCCTTCCATTCTGTCCCTCTAGAAATATTCAGTATTTTGGTTGTTCTATTAGCATCTTCTAAATCTCCACTTAATCTACGTACCTATACCCTGGATCCCTTTGCTTTTCTACCCTAGTTACACTCTTAATGATCAAAGCAATAGATTGTCATCTTATTCTTCTAATAACGTACCACCTCACACAGTGAAATTTATTTGTCACCTATTATGCTGACTACATGGGGTGTTTCTATTTGCTAATTTGGAACTGGTTAGAAAATTTGAAAAGATACAATGTAAATTACCATGGACAAAATTAACTGTATGCCAGTGCAACACTAAATTGCAGCGTACACTAAACTCGTGACTGCAGCAACTCATGTATTCACCATCTACCATTCTTTTTCTGTTTTCTTAAATTGGGAAAACCAGCATTTATTGCGTACCTTAATTGATCCGATAAGGTGGTGATGTGCCTTCATTTTGAAATGCTGTGGTCCATATCTATTTTTTCTTATTCTTTGTAATGGTTTGATATTACTGAGCACCTTGTGAGATTACTTCAGAGGGTGGTTAGGAGCTTATCATATTAGTGTGGACTTGACATAGACAAATTAGTTGTGTTTTTATAACAATCTGAAAGTTGTACAGTTCCTTTTTTAAATTTCCAGATCCTCAGAAACAGAATTCAAATTCAAACCACTGAAGTTGAATTTGAACACCTGATCTTTGGCTAGTGGCCCAGTAATATAACCTTTGTGTACTGTATAATTTCTACTCTATAGCATGCAGTTAACTTCTGATTGAATTCAGCAACAGAAACTCTAGAATAGAATGTTGATCAGTTACCATGAATGTTACTTTGAGTTGACTCTGAGGTTGTTTGTAGATGATGAAAACAGAGACACCAAGTATGATCAGCAGTACAGCAAGAATCCCTATGCTCCAGGGCACCGCACAAAGAATGGCTTCATTGGCATAAGTAATCAGCACACTTAATGCACAAATGATAACAGCTGAAAAAGAAAGGTGTAGATTAGAATAGGCATTTAAAATGTGTTACATTTAAGACAAGTACTTAAATCGTAAATTTTGAATCAATGGTGCCTACTATTGCCTATCAATGGTACATAAGGAAGTTGTGGGTACACTGCCCGTGATTTTTTGATATGTATCTTACTAGACCAGGCTTTCTATGCCAGTACACTTCAGCAAATTACCATCTGACCATTTGTATTGTATTATTTATACCTAACTTTTTTTCCTTTTAGAAACAGACAATACTGGAAATACGCAGAAGTCAATATGCACACGACGGGGAACGATAAAATAAAGTTTTAGATATTACCTTTGCTTCACATTTCTGGCACCTGCAGGTTAGTGAACAAAATTAAAGTACAAGGGTTTGGAGGTAAACACTAACATGGATTGAGGGTTGATTACAGGTAGAAAGCAGAGAGTAGGAATAAATGGGTCATTCTCATGTTGGCAGGCTGTGATCAATGGGGAGCTGCAAGGATCAATGCTTAGATCCACCCATGTTCACAATATATATCAATGACTTGGATGTGGAAAGGAATTGTAATATTTCCAAGTTTGTGATTAACAAAACTTGTGGGAATATGAGTTGTGAGGAAGATGCAAATAGGCTTTAAAGGTAATCAGATTGGTTGAATGACAGGGCAAGAGCGTGGCAGATGGAATATGATATGTGAGGGTACTCACTTTGGTAGAAGGAACAATCTCAGAATAAACGGCAGTTGTGCCTCTGTGGTTCATTGATTCTATACAGACTGAACATTTGGTGAATAGACATGGAAGTGCAAAAGGTTCATATGATTGTATGAGGGGCCAAGGGGGAGCTGAGAGGAAGGGAATAGGATAGCAGTTAGGAGGTTTGTGGGGTGAGGGCTACAAGACTTTTTCATGTTTTATTGCCTTTATTCCAACTAGAGCTTTAAACAGCTCACCCCTGCAGCAGTGAGTATGAAAATCATGACCACTTTCTCAAAAATAGGCCTTAACAAATTTTTAGTCCAAATTTTTCCATGTTTTGCTCTCAAATTTGCCAGCCCCCCTATCAGAGGCACCATTTTTTGAACTGACATGGTTTGGATGCAGCAATGGCTCCACCTTTCCTCTTCTTTTCATTAAACTGGCACGTAAACAAATGGAACAAAAATCTTTGCTATCCTGAATGATCTCACCTCACAATTCTTAGTCAGTCAGGCTACTGGTATCCCTGAGTTATAAAACAAACCAACTATCTTCTCTACTATACTGCTACATGTAATTCATGGTATCTTTTTCTTCCACAATAGTTTTTTTTTCCCCCAGTGTCAAGTATCTTCATTATATAATGTCATCCAATAAATTACCAGGCAGAACTGTTTTGCACTATATCAGCCAACTGGCATTATTTGAGAATTCCTTGGTCCAACTGCTGCTTTTGCTGTGATTATTTTGTTTGTACTGTTGAAGTAACTGATGTTATTCCAGCTGGCAATAGAAGGCTTATTATCTTGCCCTTTCTTTCCCCATCAGAACTGCTTCAGCATCTTGGTTCAATCATGCCTTCCATTTCCATAAGCAAGAAATGGGATCATTTGTATTCATTTCTTGGCACTGTGTCCTTTGAGTTCCAAAATTACATCATGGTGCAAATCTAAGCACAGGGCTTCAGAGCAAGAGTAGGCAATTTGTCCCTTTTCTCTTTGGCCTCATTCACTTCTTCTAGCATATGCACTGATGACTGTGGTGCACTGTTTCTGAGTTATGGTAAGCCAAAGGCTCATGAGACATCTGTTCATCCCAAGGGATAGAGGATTCAGGGTGGGAGGAGAGGTCGTGGTGAGATTTAGATCAACTAGACCATGGAAGAACAATCTCCTTGGAGTTGGCATTCTTGCTCAGATTTACCCATCCAAAAGATTTGTTCTTAGCTGACCTTCTCCTGCTTGCCATAGCTCACTTAGGGCAATGGTCTCAGTGTCATAGGGTCTTAATTCCCAGACTATCATTGTAGCACAACATTCACGTCTGTCGCTATTGCGTTTACCCATGGGGTCCCATCTATACCCGGAGCCAAACTTAATATTGAGCAACTGGAAGGTGCCTGTACTTGGTTACTTTTAAATGGCTATTCAACTGTGAAAGATACACCGCCCCAACACAGTGCATCAGAATCACTGCATTGTCCTCTCTTGCAGAACAAGGTCACACAAAATACAATGGAAGAATGGAGAACTGTCATTACATCCCCTGAGCCTGAAGGAGCTGATGGTATTTCATATCGTAGGACTTTACAACACAATCAAGAGCATCTAGAATTGCTTAGGGCATTCAGGATGTGTTGCTTGGAGGGGAACTTGCAGGTGATGATGCTCCCATGTGTCTACTGCGCCTGTCCTTCTGGGTGGTAGTGGTCACAGGCTTGGAAGGTGGCGCTGAGGGAAGCTTGATGAATTTCTGCGGTGCATCTTGTACATAGGACACACTGCTGCTACTGTGTGCCAATAGTGAAGACAGTGAATGTTGAAGGTTGAGGTTGGGGTGCCAATCAAGTGGACTGCTTTCTCCTGGATGGTGTCAAGTCTCTTAAGTGTTGTTGAAGCTGCACTTGTCCACTTGTGCACTTGCAAGTGGAGCCTATTCCATCACACTCCTGACTTGTGACCTGTAGATAGTAGATGGACAATGGTGAGCCAGGAGATGAATTACTTACAGTAGGTTTCCTAGCCCTGACTTGATCTTATAGCGACAGTATTTCTATGGCTGGTCCAGTTCAGTTTCTGGTCAACGGTAACCCCATGATGATGATGCTGGGGAATTCAGTGATTGTAATGCCAATGAAGACTAGACCCTGTTTTGTTGGCAGTTTGTCATTGCCTTGTTCTTGGGTGGCACAAATGTTATTTAATTGCCACTTATCAGCCCAAATGTTCTCCAGATCTTGTTGTATATGGACAAAGGGTACATCATTCTTAAAAACTGCAAGCTGGCCACTCCCAGCCACAGCAGCCTCGAACATAAGAGAGGTAATTGCTGCCTCCAGGATATACAGGATAACCGTTTTTGTGTTTTCACTATTAGTTTTTCCAGTGCCCATGCTGTAGCTCCTTACCGAGTCTGGATTTCTATGGCCCATGACAAGTTGGTGCAATCAAGGCCCCCAAAGTCATTCCTCTGCTGTAAGTCAGCAGCCTTCCACCAGCCAGATGCAGTAATGTTGTACAAAGGTAGTAATGTTGTATGTGGATATTTTGTTGGATAAAGATGCTGATAGAGAAGTTTCTGCTAGTGATTTTTATTGTAAATTGCTGGCTCTGGGGATTTTTTGATGTAGTTCCTCCACTAGATGTAATGGTGAATCCAAAGTGGTAAAAGGAAAGATTTCCTATAGATAGCTGTATGATGTAAGGGATTTCAGGATGTACCCTCCCTGTCTTCTGCTACCTTTGGTGGCTTCTAACTTCCAGGTGGTGATGGCGATGTTATAGAGAATGCAGCAGGGCAACCTCAAAGCTGAGACAACAGTTTCAGCTTGTATGGGAAGGCTTCCCCAAGCAGTTTGGTCATTGGAACTATTGGCTCGACAATGGTCTGCTCCAATGATGTCCTTTGTAGTTCCATGGCTCTCATTATACAGGGAACAGGAGGGACAAGGAAGTATGGATGGCATCAGATGTGCAAACAAGAGTGGCTTTTGCTCTTCAACAGCCACACTCTGGTTGATCTTGGAGCTGTGAGGACAGCAGCAGTGGCTGACAGGCTCAGATGGAATGCGCTGTCCTGCTGCCAGAATGGTGGAAACTCACTGATATTAGCATTTATGAATGATTGCACAAAACTGTATTTTAACTGAGTGACAGTTTTGCAGTTCTTTTACTTCTCCCTATTGAAGTGACGGGCCTACAGAGACAAAAGAACGCAATCAATGGCACGGCAGCCTCCTGTCAAGAATTCTGCCACCCTGGCAGATCCAAATGCTCATGATTTACCCAGTGGAAAGAAACTGTGATGTAATCGTCTCTTCTAGCACGGACAATTTCCCAGATGTTTTAATGAACAGGATACTGGAAGATGTTGTATATGACACCCATTTCCAGCTGAAAAAGATCTGGACATTCCGATATCAATATCACTTTTCAGGTCAATGATAGCACAGCCTTCTCCCTGTGGCAAGGCTTCAAGATTACGTTGAAGGAAATGGCAGTTTTATGACCACCTTCTTGTTGAACGTGAGTAGCTTTAAAAACTCTGTGGTGAATGTGATCTACTGTGCAGATACTTCCTCCTCCTTTTTCAAATCTTGCTGGTGACCACTCATCACCTGACATCCCACTCTTAACTGTGGACCCAGAAGGAATTCCCAATGGGTTTCTGCAGGACACTCGACATTCAGCTACAGATGAAATCTGGAAGTTACGATCTTTTGGACCTGACACTCCAAGGAGATAAAAGTTTATCAGTGTTCCTTAATGCCTGTCCACCCCAACTATTGTTGATAGATAAAGCACTTACATTTTCAACATTAAAATCCATCTTAAATTTATTTATATATCCCTTTAACTTGCCTTGTTGCCTTGAAAGACACTCACTTTCACTTGTATGCATTACCTGGCTTTATAGATTGTAGTTAGTGGGCTTTATAATCTAAAATACACAGCCCCACCCCACATGTCTTCAAAATGGTCCACTGTGCTATACAACTTAGTCACATTGGCACCATTACTGTTATCATTTGTTGGTCTATTTTTCTCTTTTAATTTAGTGGGAAATGAGGTTTGAAAATGTTGCCTAACTGACAGCTAAATCCAAAGAGAGGCATGCCAAGATCTTATCAGTAACTTTAGACGTGTCCAATTTAATAGGAATATTAAATAGGAATAGTTCCCATATTCCCAGTGGTCCCCAGCTTCAAAGTTCACATCCCAAAATAACAGAAGACTTAGTCTTCTACCTCAGCATATCCTGATAGACTATTTACTAATAGCATCCTACAATCAAATAGTTA